AGAGGGATTCCCATCAGACTGTATTTTGGAGATGCCCCCAAAACATCCTAGGTTTGCTTTTAAAGCTCCACATTGAAACCTGCTCCCCTCTGAACTTTCACTTCTATGAGACTAGTGGGAATATATAGGGATGCCAACTCTTTTTCACAGTCAGGGGTTTTCTAATTTCTGACTCATGCTTTTCAATCTCATGGTTTGCCCTTATTCAAAATGGCCGCTATTTCCCATTACTGACAATGGGATTCTTCCCTCTGTGAGATGGCTGCCATGTCCCTTTTGAGCTTGAGGCTGTCCTGAATAAAAAATGGATACACCTCCATCCACTCCTTCCAACAGAGCTAAGGCCAAGTTGCTTTCAAGAAAGATAGTGGGCCCTAGAACCGCCTGTAAGGAAGTTAGGCAAGGGACAGAAGATCATAGAGGTACCAGGAATGGAGCTGTTGGATCGGCAAGGTGGAGGGAGTATAGAAAGTCTAAATAATGTAAATGAAACATGGTGTAAAAGATTGGAAAATATTCTGGGGCAAGTGAGAGATGGGAGACTGGGCAAGCATGTATGGTGGGGGATGATCTTTATTGGCAGGGTGATGGAGTGGGCATTCTAACAGGTCCCCTACTAGCGCCAACATCTAAGCTACTTTGAGCAATGGTGTACTGAGCCTTGAAACCAGACCCTTAATTCTAACCTAAATCTGCTCCAAATCTGAGCATCTTCACTTTAGATAGGCCTACATTTTCAGAAGTGATTTGTGATTCTTTTGGGTACCTCTTGTGCATAAATTGCCAAACTGAGGCACCTTAAAGGGACCAGATTTTTTGAGGGTGGGTATTTAACACTTTCTAAAACTCAGGAGGTGACTTGTCTGCATCATTGTAACAGGGCACTCATGTCAACCAGAGACACAGAAGAGCAGACACCAGCATAAACCTCTGGCTCATTTCACTTATCTCAGGCTGAGCACCCAACACAACTGAAATTACCAAAATCAAGAAGGCACAGCTAAAACATTTTGACCAGGATTCTTTCTGCCCAAAGAGCTTTACAACATACAAGCATCTATGAAATAAAGATATTCAGTCCTGGTACTGAGAATTCTATTCCTTCTCCTCCAGTGGGACTGTCTATATCTGAGTGAAAATAAGTAAAGCCATCAACATCCTCCATTTCACAAAAGAGCTTGTTTTTCCTCGAATTTTCATATTTAGAAAAAAATCTGATTTTTGTAAAGAAAAAAAAGAATGGGAAATGGATAAACAAAGCTTTGGATTTTTTAAACTAAAGCGGACTTTTTTTCAGATTTTCTTCTTTTCAGTTAATATTTTGCTTCCCCCATCTCTTTTCTCCTTTTTTTCTATTCCAATTTTGTTTTTCTTTTTTTTCCATTTTGCTCCTGAAATGAGGGGGAAGAACAGGAAAGAGGGGAGAGAGGTATAACAAAAAGCCAAACACAAAAACTCATTTTGACAAAATTATATGAGCAGCTAACTATGCTTCAGTAACTATACGTCTTCAGTATAGAGGAGGTTTAGGACCTGGTGATCCAGCCTGGAAGCTGAGAGAACTCAGTATTTTGCATGAAGAGGTCTGGGCCTTGTAGGATTGGCTTTGAGCAGGTGTCTCAAGCAAAATAGAAGAGATGGGTCACAGCCAGAACTCTGGATGGGAACCTTGCACCCCTGTGGGGATTTCTGTTGCTATCATCACAGGTTGGCTCAAACAGGCCACTGGCAAAGTGAGGAATAGAGCCCAAATCTCCTGTGTTCCTGTCCAGTAGGACACACTGCCTCTCCTACAGGTCACTGGTATAGGTGGGATCTCTGCATATTTGTCTCCAAAAGCAGAGCTTCTATGTGCTCAGCAGGAGGCATCGTTTGAGTGCTATGAAGAAGCTGCAGAAGTGGGAAGCAAGTGGTACTAAGGAAGGTGGGAGGGGAAGACGGACGTCTCTCACTGATGGGGCGATAGAGGTTCCTGTTGGTAGATAACTTGTACTTTTAATTCTACACTTTGCCATTGCCCCAGCAGCTGTGGACCATCCAGACATGGTTTAAAAAGGAGGCTAAAACCAGATCTGTCCTACTTCCAGATTCACATCCTTCTCAGTCTGCTCCTTCTTCCAGCCCAGACTTCCAGCCTAGACTTCCAGCCCTGGAGTTTTCCTCCCATTCCAGGTAGACAGACCTTTGTCTTCTACCTCCTCCCACATGGCATGGCACATGGACAGACTTTCTGGATGGACTTCAGGTCATGCACTATAGAACAGCACAAATGTGGCTCAGCTCAGTCAAGCTGAAGGGAAGAGAAGGCAAATAAACCACTTCCCCCATCCCACCAGTTCTTGACTCTCACTCCCACTATGTTCTGTCCTCCTGTTACTACAGCATTCTGTTATTTTAAGGTGCCAGAAGATCATTTATCTCTACACAGCTGGCCCAGCTCGGCTACCCTGCCAACCTGTGCTCGGTGCAGCTAAGCGATCAAGCCAGAAGGAGAGGGTTAATTTCTGGCCTGCCAGTTTCTGAATGGGACTTCTATACCTCATCATATTAGAAATTATTTTGGGTCTGCACATCCTAAACTCAAAACTCTGGTCATCTGAGGAAGTGGGCTGTGCCCACGAAAGCTCATGATACCACCTACATGTTTTGTTAGTCTATAAAGTGCTACAAGACTATTTGTTGTTTTTTAAGTTTATCCTGTACAGACTAACTTGGCTACTCCCTGAAGCATTAGAAACCTTGTATGTTATTCCTGTAAGAGTGCATAAACTTCAGAACTTCCCATGGATTTAGGGTCTGGTCAAAGCCCACTAAAATCAATTGAAAGACTTCCATCAATTTTCATGGGTTTTGTACCAGTTAAGCTAATAGTTCACAGTAATTTAGGCAGAATTTAAAGTGTATTAACTGGTTTGATAGTGTTCTCCCTGCTTTTGAGTTGAATTTGCTTTCTGTGTGGGTACGTCAACACTTGCTTCCTACTTCGAACTAGGGCTGCAAATGTAGGCAACCGAAATTGCAAATGAAGTGGGGATTTAAATATCCTGCACTCCATTAGCATGATCCCGCCGGTGCGCTACTCCGCTCAACAGCTGTTTCAAAAGTGAAAGTGTGCACCAGGACACGTTAATTCAAACCAAACCCCTTGGTTCAAATTAACGTTACTTCTCTCTTTTTGGAAACTCACTGTTAATTATGCCTGAGCCCTTTTGCTAGTGCTGCAGGTAGGGTTTAATTTAATTTCTTAAACAGGTTTAATTTAAATTATTAAACAGAAGCATTTTAACTTTCTCATGTTAGTAAAATTTTATGTCTGACACAAAAGGTTTCGATGTTTTATTTATGACAAGGGTGGGGAACCTTTTCTGGGTCGGAGGTCACTGAAGCACAGAAAAATCCATTGAGGACCATACAAGTGAGAAGCAAAAAAAAAAACGCTGGAGTGGGGCAGGGATCCCCTGCTCAGTGTTCAGATGCAGCCACCTCTGGGGTGGAGCTGTGTAAAAGCAGCACTGCACAGTTCGGTGGGTTTCAGGAAGAACTGTGGGTTGACCCTGACCTCGGGTCCTTGATGTGATGCTAAAGGGATGGATGGTCTGTCCCCAGCAGGGGGGGGGAGGGTCTAGTTTGTTAGAGCAGGGGAGATTTCAGAGCAATGGACTGACCTCAGCATCCTTGAGCTCCCTGAGACAGGCCAGGCCTATCCCCACCGCATCGGTCCAGGGCTTGCGTTCTGTCCCGCTGTCTGTGCCCTGCTCCCTGGCATTAGTCAAGCTGTGGGCAGTGCCTGGGGTCTGCTCCTTGCAAAGCCTTGTCTGTGGGGAGGGGTCACACTTCACCATGTGCACCCGGGTCCTACGATCTCTGAGCCTGACCCCATCACACCCCAGACCCCAATCACCCTTTGCCTCCTCACCCCGGCCCCAGCGGCCCCCATCCCTGGCCCCCACTCTCCCACAGGGGTGGGGGTCCCAGTGCTGTGCGGGGTCCCTGTGCTGCCTGTGGTGGCAGGTGGGGAGCAGGGTTGGCTCTCAAAGGCACCGGGGGCAGACCCCATTACTTCCTTCTCCCCCGGGACCTGCCCACTGCCTCATCACCCCCCAGCTCTCGACACCCCTCATCCCCCGGCCCATCTCGCGTGGTGGTAGCTACTCAGAGATGGTCCTAGCCAGGCCCCGGGATCAAGGCAGCCTGTTCCCACCCCCTTACCTGTGGGTCCCCGCAAGCTAGGGTGGGCGGAGCAGCAGTAGTGCATGAGCAGGGGCAGGATCTCTGTGTGGAGTCCCTGTACTGCCCGGTAGAAGTGGACAGGCAGCTTTCGGGGGACTCCCCCCCCCCATTGGTTCCTTTTCCCCCAGCCCCAGAGGGGGGGGGGGGGCGGTGGAGCAGCAGCGGCGCACACATGGGGACAGCCTGTTCCCACCCCTCCTCTCCCCGCCACCCATGGGTCCCCGCATGCCAGTAGGGCCAGGACAGGTGGAGCAACAGTGGTGCGCAATTGGGGGAGGGTAGGGCATCAACCCTGTGGAGGCAGGGGTGTCCCAGCTGTGTGCAGGGTCCCTGTGCCACCCAGTGGTGGTGGGTGGGGAGCTGGGGCATCTCTAGGGGGCACTGAGGCAGAGGCAAGTGGGGAGCCAGGTCTGGTTGAGGCTTTCTTCACCTTCCTCACTCATGTACATCCAGAAGCTGGAGCTGCTGCTCCAAGTCTCGTGGCTGCATGGGGGAGCAGCTGGGGGTGCATTTGAGCTGTGGACCACCTGGGAGGCAGCCTGGGGACTGCATTTTGAGAACCATTGCTATAGCTCACTGAGAGCTAATCAGGTATAACAGTAGGACAGTCACACTAAAATGGGTGGCAGCAACAGTAGCACAGCTTAGCCAGGCCTAATAGAAATCAGTCTGAATGCTGTGTGTATATGCCCACGTGAGTGCGACAAATCCTCTGTCTGGGATTTAGAAGAGAAATGGCACTGAGTCTTATTTATATATTTAATTTTAATTAAAAAATAAAGGTTATTTTAATACATCTCTTGCAGCCTTCAGGCAAAATGCACCCTCCACAAGACTTAAGGAAACATGATGCATATTTGTTCTTGGCACACAGGTCTTAAAAACAAATGCAAACTTTCCTCAGCAACTTCTTAAGTCCATTGCTTTCCCCTAACCCTGAAAACATTTAAATGCTCCTTGGGAAAAAAAAATACAAACCCCACAATAATTAGAAATGGACCTGAAGCAAAAAAAATCCCAGTTCTGAGCAGCCCAAAGCCTCTGGAGGAACTTGAAATCCAAACCGTAATCTCAAGCTATATTTTTATCCAGTGGTCTTATCTTTATAAAAGTTTGTAAAGATCCACACCCCAGATCTGATCACCCCAAACCTCCCAGGGAGGTCTGAACTCTGAATTTTGACCTGGGGCTGAGTCTTACCATGTATCTTTATAATGGGCTGAACCAAAAACCTGGGTGTGTGCATCCTCCAAGAGACAAAAAAAACTGCTTTGCTTGGGCTCATCCCTAACAGAAATAAGTGCTGGTTAAATGAGCAATCATGCTGTAAATTTCCCCTTTTCTTGGCAGTCACTGCCTTGAGGCCGGACTAAGTACTCTGTCCTTTAGTTCAACCTTAAAAGGTGAGAATAAAGTCAAGCAAATACACTGAACCTTCCCAGATGGTCATAAGCACTACGCAACCACCGTGCAAGGCATGAAAGGAGTCCTGGGCTTTTTCTGTGTCTCCAGGCTCTCTCAGGTTTCTAGACACACTGTTTCCTCTGGAGAATATTTAGAAGTACTCAGGCCCCCTTGTCCTTCACAGAGAACTTACACATGCTCTTGGGAAGGGAAAGATTGTCATCCTATGCATTGGGTTTTTTTGTTCCACAGCTGCCCATGCTGGTTAATTCCCAGTGGCACAAAGTGCACAAGCTCCTGACTTATACACAGTCTTTGGGAGGTTTTTTTTTTTTTAATCTTTCCTTTTTTTCCCTCCTATTTTTCCTCTTTTAGCTCAAGGGTGTGGTCTCCTCTGGGGAGGGCTCCAGTGTGTGCTCTGGGGACTTTCCCGTCTCCAAGGAGACTTCAGTCTTCTTCTCTGTCAATTCAGGCTCTTCCTGGGCCTGAGATGTCTCCAACATCTGCTTCTGAACTTGGCTGTTCATCTTTTCCTCTGCCTCAATCTCTTCTGAGGTAGGGATGGAGTTTTTCTTTGGGCGGCCTTTGGGCTTAGTTGGAGCTTCCTGTCCACCTTTCAGTACCTGGAACAAAAACAATAGGCATTTGATCCTGTCCACCTTTCAGTACCTGGAACAAAAATAGGCATTTAGACCATTCTGAACTACATCAGTGTCTACCATCGATGTCTACCAAGTTCCCGATGGTACTTGTAACATTAGGATGTAATTTACCCTTGTTCAAAGGGCTGACTGAAGGTCTAGGAACTATTGACCTCCTATTTGCCTTCAGGTCTCAAATGGAACTTAAGTTATACATAGGCTTAGTGGAACTTAAATGAGGCCTAATTAATCTAAATGGAGGCAAGCACAAACCCGGCAGACACTTATGTTTCAGACTCTATTTAGAGTCCAGAGTTCAAGACAGGTTGTAAAGTGGTCTCAATACCCAACTCTCAACACACACAGAGTCTTGTCCAAATTCAGCTCTCTGATTAAGACTTTCTTTCATTCTTAGTTTAAGTAACAACAATCAGACCTCAGCCTGAGTTTCTAAAGTGTGTTTTTTCTTCTTCTATCTGGTTTCCCTTAGACACTCAACCTTTTTCACTCCTGCTTTGGAAAACTGAGACCCATCAGGTCTTCCTACTAAGATGAGTCAGCAAAATAGCTCTGCCACTTCTATCATCTCCATTTTGCACACAGGAGAACTGGGCAAAGAGAGGCAACAACTTGCCTAAGGTCATGCAGTGCGTCAGTGACAGAGCCAGAATGGAACTAAGTGGCACAAAGTGCACATGACTGTCTTTCCTTTCCACCAATACAATACAGAACCTATCATTACTGGTGTATTGGACAGGTGGGCATTCTAGATGTCCTTTTTGAAGGACAGGGAGGAGGCTTTGTGTATATTAACTGAGAAACTGCATTTAAAAAAAAGGCTTGAAGTTGGGAGTGCATGTAGGAAATAAAGGGTAGACCACAGGGAGCAGGAGCACAGCAAGAGGTGGAGGCAGGGTCAGAGTTAAAGACAGCTTTAGCAGTGAGAAGCAGGGATGTCACTGGACTTAGTTTCACTGAGTTGAAGTTTCCTGATGGTCCAGGTGTACCCACAATTCCCATCAGCAATAAAGATGCTAGGGTTGCCAAAAATGCAAAGGGAGAAATTTCTGTCCAAACCCCTTTCATCCCTTTGGTTTGAATCCACATTGCTGTCCATGACCCTCTGATGAAGTAGGTTTTGCCTACGAAAGCTCATGGTTCTATATATATATTGGTTAGTCTCTAAAGTGCCACAGGGCCACTCATTGTTTTTGAGTTTACAGACTAACAGCTACCCCTCTGAGATATATATATATATATTTTACTTTCACTTAAGTGAGCCTTTCAGGGAATCAGTTATCAGCAACAAACTGAACATCAAAATTCAGGACCAGTTCCTCAGGTGGTAGAAATCGGCATAGCTTCACTGGCAGAATTTATGCCAAAGCCAGCCAAATGCAGACCCAGGTTTACTTCCACTCAGGATTGGTCTCTGATATCAAACTGGAGATCTTGCTGGGAACCTATTGATCTCTTACCATTTTCTTCCACTTCATCCTACGGTTCTGGTACCAAGTCTTCACCTGGAGCTGAGTCAGCCCCAGTGACTGCGCAAGGTCCAGCCTAGAAGACAAGAGAGACAGAGACTTAAAGGCATTGTAGCATCCAAATCCACTGCAGTAGCCTATTCCTGGGGATGGTGTCCTATCAAGAGTCAATGCACAGAGGTAAATTCCAGAAAAAGATAACTGTTGGCTTTTCCTCACTTAGATTTTCTCTCCAGTTTGGATGAGAACTACAAATCAGTGTAAACGGTCCTGGTGCAAATTTAGAATCCAATTTATGAAGGAAGCAAGAATGATCTTGTGGTTATGACACAGAAGAGGATGGAAAGATAGCTGGTCTATTTCCATCTCTTCCTGTGTGTTTGGTTGGGCAAGTGAAGGAGGACAAGACTTGGTTGTCCAACTGGAGTCAACTTGACCCTTATGTTCAGAAGTGCTATTAATTTGCTGATATTACAGTGATGAGCACTCTAGAAATGCCTATAAATAAGTTTGCGCTGGTTGGGCCTTCGGAAAAGCTACAGTAGGCAGCCCAGATGCTTATTCTAACTTATCTGGGCCCAACCTCCAAATCTGTAGCAGTTCCTTTATAGCTATTAATCTACTTAGTTCTACATAAAACCTGAGAAAAGTTCTACAGGTTCTACATAAAACCTAAGCAAAGTTCACATCCAACATAATCCTTTTATTTATCTCATAAGTGAGAACAAATCTAGACCTTGTGCTGCAATGGAGCTGCATTTGGGATTAATTTGGCCTTGTGTGATTCAGAAATTCTAAGTCCTAAGCAGAGCTGGGCCAACGTTAGGCAACAATGTGAAGCCATGCAAAACTCGGATGGGTTCAGGTGCAAACATGAAGTAGCATTCAAATGCATTTGAGGTTCAGAAGACAGGGTTTCCAAAACTGAGTTTCATATCAAAAGTTGTGATCCAACTGGCCATATAATGACAGTCAGACACACCAATATTTAAACACCCTAACAAACCCACACATGTTTTTCCCCTTTGTAGTTCAAGGAGCCTGTAGTGAATATCTGGGGTACTGCAGAAGCTAGATGGATGAGACTGTGAGAACAGAATCAAGCCCACAGGCTCCAGGCTTTACTCCATCTGAATGTCTTTGCTTCTAATTAGCCATGCAACTCAGTAGCTTACCATACTCCTCAATTTAGACCATGTTAAAGGACACAAGAGTGAATGCTAATCTCAATCCATGGTCTTATCACTGCATTACTAGCTCATGAGCTCACATGGAGGGGAAATATGTCTGTTTGATGAACTCCTGCCAGGAAATCTGTATCTTGTCACACCTTGATTACCTGTAACAGGTACAATCTCTCTCCATGTACATTAGCATAACTGGCATTGCCTAGGAAACCAAGGAAACAAACAAAGAGAAAGCAAGAGCCATGGGAGCAGAGATTGCTCATTGGCCTCAGTCATGGAGAAAGCCAAGAAACTTTCATGCCTCTAATTAATTCAATAGCCCTGACTGCTTGACTGATGGTGTCACTCACCCAGTTACACGAGGCAGTGCTGAGCCAGTCAGCACAACCCCTCAGCCTCAGGGGATACAGAACCATGCCAAATGGGCCAGATATCAAAAGATAATGAGTCCTGAGCTCTTTCGAAAAATCATGGCATATGAGTCACTACGGGAGCTACTTAAAATCTGACCCCATTTTAGACGCTTAAATGGGTATGGCACTCACTTGAAAACCCGTCCCCAATGTGGGTGCTAAGTATTTGAAAATCTGGCCCAATGTGACCCGTGCTTTGGTAGCATGATGCATCAGATGAAAAATAGAAGCAGGGTTGGTAGGATTCCATATGCACATTTTTTATAGTTTGGGCAGCTATTTATTTTTACACTTTTTGTATTGTTAATTTACATTTTCATAGTTGCAGGAAATTATGGGGATGGGGAGGTCAGGCAAATGGAGGCAGTCATGCAACAGTAATGTAACCACAGTATATGCTCATAGTCAAACAGTTAGAGCTTAATAAATGTGAAGTTCATGTCATAATAAACAAAGGAAATGTCCTGAAATCAAACTACAAAATATTTTCAAGCAGCATTTTTCTTAATTTGGCTATTTATGCCTTTTGTTTATTACCTAATTGGGGGGCAGCATTTTTCTTAATTTGGCTATTTATGCATTTTGTGGAAAATGTTAGTCAGTTTGCCAAAATAATTATGTCAACCGTTGAACCAGGAGACAGGATTCTAGTGCACTACCTGAGTCTTAGAGGCAAGCAGACACTTGCAGATAGATGGGCGCCCATAGCACATGTGGTACTAGAGCAGCTAAAAGACGATATCTCCCTTTATAAAGTACAGGCAGAATCTAGAGATGGTCCCAACTGAATTCTTCATAGGAACATAGTAAGACTGTGTGGCTATATCTCTGCTCGTAAATGAACAGAAGATAACCAGTCAGAGACTCCTGTGAATGGCAGAACTAGACAGAAACCCACTGAAGTGGTCACTCAGGCCGTGTCCAGACTTAGGGGTTTTTTCGGGAAAAGTAGCCTTTTCCCGAAAAAACTTCCCCTGCGTCCAGACTCAAGCCGCGTTCTTTCGAAATTATTTCGAAAGAACGCGGCTTTTCTTTCGATGGCGGTAAACCTCAATTTACGAGGAAGAACGCCTTCTTTCGAAAGTTCCTCTTTCGAAAGAAGGTGTTCTTCAATGTAAAGAGGCCGTCTTCGAAAGAGAGCATCCAGACTCGCTGGGTGCTCTCTTTCGAAAAAGCGGATTTCTCTTTCGAAAGATCCGCCTGCAGTCTAGACGCGATCTTTCGAAAGAGCCTCTTTCGAAAGAAGCCTGCAGTCTAGACATAGCCTCAGAGAGAGAATGAAGATGACAATGAATCTGCACTTGATTTGACCCCAGGAGTCTGATCTTAACTGTCTGGCAAGAGAGCTTGATCCAAACGAAAGTGTTCATTTTCAGGAAACTGAATTGGAAGAGACACGAGATGGGGAAAATTCACAAAATGAGCTCCCCAGAGGAGATGGTCTGAATTCTTCTGCTGCTCCAACCACTACCAAAATACCAGTGGAACCTCACAGGACTGGCAGAATTAGAACTCATCCACTTAAAGATAATGATTATGTCCTTGGCTTCCCCACTATTCTAAAAACAACAGACTCACAGCTGATATAAGCCTCTTGCACATACTTCCCATCATTGTTTGACTGTGCAGAACAAGAAAGGCAAGATATTTGGATTGTGTCTCAGGTGCACTGCCAGGATTTAAGCAGGAGAGAATGTAACCCATGTACCTAACACAAAACTATCTCTTTAAGAGACCTCTGGGCGGTGGGGGGGTAGGAGTGAATAGTGTTTGGGTCATTGTTGCTAGGCAGATTTAGCACCCCACACACAGAAGCTTCTGGAACTGGGAATGGTAGTTTGGGGTCTGCGCCAATAGCTTCTGTCTCTGTTGCTGGGGTCAGATTCCATGAGCAAGCAGGCAGGGCAGCTGCTTTGCTAAGGGCCTTGTGCCCTGGGTGAGCTGGGAGAGGCTGAGCCAGGAGCAGAGAGCAGGCTGCTGTCCCTCACTCTGCAGCACTTTGTGGCAGGTAGTGATGGTGTTAACCCTCTACCAGGGCACATGGGCAGTGCTAGTTATAGCAAGGGGAAAATAACTTCTGCTGTGTTCATGGTATGCTTTGAATGCCATTTTGATTTTAGCCAAGCTGATTCATTCACTTCCTCAGTCAGTGGGATTCTCCAGGCTCCTCTTTAAATGTGGCAATGCAGAAAGAGTCATTTCTATTTTGTTATTCTCAGGTTTTGTATTTTCTTGTAACAGGATGAGCTGACTGACTGGTTAATCAGTGAGCTGGCTGTCTAGCAGTGATCCACAGCAGAGGAAAAGTCTGAGGATCTCTACAAGCAAGTGGTTCAAACTTAGCATATGGGGCAGATCTGATGATGACAGATATAAACGGAGACTTTGGTGAACTAAATCTAAGCTCTCCCAGTTTCTTCTTAGGATATGTCTACACTTGCACCCTAGTTCGAACTAGGAATGCAAATGCAGGCATTCGAAATAGTCAATGAAGCGGGGATTTAAATATCTCTTGCTTCATTAGCATGATCTAGCTGTCCTGTGTCTTTTAAAAATAGTCACAATAAGCAATGCTATGGGATAGACTCTACCCTCAGGGCAAAAAGCCCGTGATATTTATGGCCAAAGTGCCCTCAAAACAGCCCTGGTCATGCATGGCTGTGTCGTGATGCATTTGAAATGGGACAAGAGTAAACTAGGGAGGAGTCGGGTGTAATATCCAGGATGCTGCTGTCTTCTCGCCTTAGAAAAGCTACTGTGTTTCAGAGGTAGTCTTTAGTATTTAACAGCAGCACTGCAGGTACCTGATGAAGGAGCACAGGGAGTAAATGGAGATTACATTTCTTTAAGGGAGTCACACATGCACTTTGCATGAGGGTCAACAATGGCATGCAGTGCTAGCCATTGGCCAATCAGGCCCCTGATGTGGGGTTTACACTAAGGATGTTAAAGGCTGGTCGACTAGTTGCTCCCCCCCATTGCTACCTCTATCAGACAGAGGCAGCAAAGCTGGGGGGAAGAGGAGGTACTTCAAAGTGGTAGCGCCGCACGGAGCCTGGAATATGGGCTCCGTGCAGTGCTGCCGCTTTGAAACGCTGTGGCGGCTCCATGTGGCACTGCCCCTTTGAATGCGTTTCATGCAGCATTTCAAAGGGGCAGCACTGCACAGCTGATCCTGGGCTCTTTGCAGCACTGCCACTCTGACATGCTGCGTGGAGCCTGGGGTCAGGCGGGGAGTCCATGTGGACTCCATGTGGGTGCTTCCACTTTGAAATGCACAAGTACATTTCAAAGCTGGCATGCTGTGTGCAGCCCAGAGTTAGCAGAAGTCCCACTGACTCCGGGCTCCATGCAGGTGCTTCTGCTTTGAAATACACAAGAGCAGGGGCAGATGACTGTTTTGCAGGGCCCAGGGCAGCATAATCTTGCGGGGCCCCCCTTTGCCATGGCGCATGCGTGGGGCTTTTTGCAGCGCGGGGCCCGGGGTGGCCGCCCCGCTCGCCCTGCCATATATCCGCCCCTGCACAAGAGGCCCCACTGGGGCTCTTGTACATTTCAAAGGAGAAATGTGGAAATACCTATCAAGTAGTTGATGAAAATTAATCAAGTAGTAAATTAATCAATATTTAACATCCTTAGTTTACACTACCATTTACTGCTGACAGCATAGCTCAGAGCCCTGGGGACTTCACTCACCTACTCGAGTCTGCACTGGGCCCTATCTTCTCTGTAAGCTCAGATTTTTACGTACCTCTCCTCTGCTTTCTGAGCATCACGTATGCAAATCCCTTCTAGATGGCTAGGTCTCAAAGGGTACATCTACACAGCAGTCAGGATTGCGCAGCAGTAAGTTTCAGAGCCCAGGTCTACAGATTCAGGCTTACACTACAGCACAAAAATAGCTGTGTAGATGTTTGGGCCATCCATCTTGCTAGAGCCCAGACTCCAGTCCAAACACCAACGCAGATATTTTTAGCACTGTAGCGTGAGCCTGCGTCTGCAACTCACAGTCACAGGGTTAGGGTGATAGAACCTGAGCCACTTTCCCAGGCTTAGCCCAGTCACACCCGCATCCCATTCCTCTGACCTGTCTGGCGTGGACAGATACTTCTGCTTTTGGAACTTCTTCTCCAGCCCCATCAGCTGGAGTTCCGTGAAGATGGTCCGGCTTCGGCGAGGCTTTTTCAAGCGCGGGGTGGGCTGCTCCCCTTCTGACTCGCTGCTGGCATGGGTTTCGCTGGCTGCTGGCTCCGAGCTGGTGGCCGAGGAGGAGTGTGGTGACAGCGCTCGGGAGGTGGTAGCTGCAGGGATGAGGTGATGGACCACAGAAGGCTGCCGGGTGATGACAGAGATGAGAGGATACGCCCTCAGAGATGGGGACCCTAGGAGGGAGGAAACAGAGAAGGGAGCTACAGTGGTGGTGGAAGCATGGAACAGCATCATGAATTGGGAGTCAGGAAAGATGGCTTTCATTCCTGGCTCTGCTGCTAAGGTCTGTGCAACCTTTAGCAAGTCTTTTCCCCTCTTCGGGCTTCTGTTTCCTTCCCTCACCCCCATTTTGTCTGTCTCATCCAATTACTTTGTAAGATCCTTGAAGCAACGAGTGTCTTTTACTGCGTATTTGCCTCGTTGCTGTCTCTAAATAAATACTACTGTAATACAATTGAGTCATGATGGCAAAAGTTCAGATCTGTAGTTTATTAGTCAAAAGATGTAGTTTGGGGATGATCCAAAACTATTTGCAAATTCAGATCAAATCTGGCAAACAGTTTTGGCCAAAACAATGAGATTTTTTTAGAGTCTCAAATGTTGCATTTAGACCCTTTCAAAAATGAAACATTTTGATTTTTCATTTCAAAACAAGATTTCATTTGGAAATGTGATTAGCTCTATTTCTATTTTAAAAAAAAGGTTTTAAAATATCCAAAAATCAAAATTGAAGCAAACAAAATATTGTTTGAGGCAACTCAAAATTATGAATTTTTTTTGTTCATTAATTTCGGCCATCAACCTGAAAAATCAACACTTTGTTCAGTTCTAGTCCTGCCGAGGTGCTTCTGTTTACCATCTAGTTTCACTGAGAGAGAAAAATCAAACCAAACTTTATGCTCATCAGTCATTTAACCAATGGAACTCTATCTCTGTCGACACGGGACGAATCCCTAGAGATGGGCCTAGACTGAATCATCAGGGCTGTATCCTCAAAACCAGGCAGATGTTCAGCTCTTTAGGGCTGCAGAGCCATTCTGGAACATCAAACCCAAGCATTCCCAGATTCTAGGAGAAGTTCTGGCTCCAATCCAGACTTGTGTCTACTTCAGCAGTATCCCAGTTCCTAAGCCCTATAAATCAGGCATCTTCTTAAGCCTATGTGCAGTGAAACTGGATCAATTTGTGGGGACTCTATGGCTATGTCTAGACTGCAGAGCTTTTCCGGGATACCTCTGATATCCCAGAAAAGCTGCGGGATCCAAGGAAGGCATTCACTTTTTCGGAAGTATCCGAAAAAGCGGACATGTTCTTTCAGCATCCCTGTATTCCTCTCAGTGAGAGGAACAAGGGATGTTCCGAAAGAGGAGGTTTTTTCTGAAATTTGGCTCAATGTGTAGACAGGCCAAATTTCAGAAAAGCCTCTTTCAGAAAAAAAAAGCAGAAAAAGACATGCAAATTGCGAACTTCAGCTTGCGTATCTTTTTCCGACTTTTCTCTGCAGTGTAGAAATAGCCTATGTTTGACTGTGTATGTGATAAGTGCATGAAATATAGAGTCAGGACTCCCGGATTCTATTCAGTGCTTTACAGCTGACTTGTTGGGTCAACTTGGGCAAATTGTATCACTTTTCTGTGCCTCAGTTTCCCCATATAACACTGGGGAATCCTGACCTCAGACTTCAGTCACCTGGGGAGGTAAGGGTTCAAGTCCTTTTAAATCTTAGACAAGTAGCGCTATAGAAAGGCCAGGTATGAGTACTGTCACTGGACTAACCCGAACCTCTTCGTCATACTGATGAGCACCTGGTTCACAAGCTGTTCCATGGACCTCACTGGGAACAGGTCTATGACCAACTTCTCAACAGCACGAGTAGAGATTGACAATCTGCCCCAGAGAATGAGCAATCAAATTACAAATAGTGTTACAATCCAGTGAGTTTCTCTCTTTCTGGATAAATTAGTCTTTCAAAATCCTATTGTTCATGCAACCAGGGTTACAGTCTATTATTGTCCTCGGCACTAGAGGACAGGGGTGTCAGACATAATCAGTCATGCTCTACATGGCGAGCAGTGCACAGCAAGCCAAAGATGAAAGCCAGCATTTAGGAACTTGATCATCAAAAATTACATGATCATGATGAAGCCTTAGGCCAGGTCTACACTGGCAGAGAAAATCGATGCAAGACAGGCAACTCCAGCTATGTGAATTGTGTAGCTGCAGTCAACATACCTTCCATCAACTTTCGGGGTCAGCCCCACAGCGGGAGGTTGACAGAAGAAACACTCCTGTTGATTTTCCTTACTCCTCACGACACCAGCGTCGCTGGGGGCACCTGCAACATGTGGTTTAGTGGATCTTTACTAGAATTGTACACTGGATTGCCAGTAATATGGCCATGTCTCCACTTGACGGAGGACTGATGCTCTGGCGATTGATCCTCCGGGGTTCCATAGAGTGGGTCTAGTAAAAGCCTGCTAAATCGAATGCTGAGGGCAATTAGATAGCTGGAGTAGAACTGAATGCTGAGGGCATTCACATAGCTGGAGTTGCATATCTTGCATTGATTTTCTCTGCTAGTGTAGACCAGGCCTTAAAGAGCATTTCTAGAATGGTGACTGAATTTAATCATATCTGAATATTACTGATTGTCGTGCTATTCAAACCCTCTAGTAGCTGCAGTAATCTACAAAACGCAATAGATTCCTTGAGCTCTACCACTATTTTCCCCTTCACATCAAAACTTTAATCAGTTTTAAACAAAAAACAAAACCTGAAATCTAAGTGGAGACCAGGCAAGAATTTATCAACAGCCATTAACTGGTGTAATATGAAAAAATGTAGTCTAGACACACCCTAAGATTTTTTTGGCACTTCATAACTGCAATGATGTACAAATCCACCAGCTTGCTGGGCCAAATTCTACCCCGATTTACCCACCAGTGGCTGTACAGTTGTAAACTGAGGTAGAACTCATCTCTCTCCACTTTACGGTGCCCAGTGTCTTGAATTCTGCCTTCATTCACTGACACTAGTTGGTTTGCAAGAGAGTAACAGAGGGCAGACTCTCACCCCACTGCACTGGAACCATCCTGTGAGGCAGCCATGACCATTTATAAACGGTGATGAAGTCGCCCACAGCCTGTGATTTGTAAACCCCGATATAGTTGCTCACAGCCTCCTTTGTGCCAGCAAAACCAAAAAAGCTGCAACGCCCTCCTCCACTGAGGCTAGGTCTACACTGCAATGGTAAGTTGGCAAAAGAAACACAATTTGCGGTACACTTTTTTGTCGAAAGAGGCTTTTCTGAAATTTGATGCATCTACACGGTGCCAAATTTCAGGAAAAAGTGCTCTTTCGACACAGCCCTTATTCCTCGTAAAACGAGGTGTACAGGGATGGCAAAAGAATGCATCCACTTTTTCTAAAAAATTTCTGAAAAGGCGGACGCATTCCTTGGACACAGTACTGCTTTTCCAGGATACCTCTGGTATGTCAGAAAAGAAGTACAGTCTAGAATTAGCCTACAAGAATAATCCCCAGCAGAGGAGGCCATCTGCATGAAGCATGAGGCCACCTCTACCCCTGCCCTTTCCAGCAGGAAGCTCTGGCATACGGAAGGATATCTGGTGAGACCATGGGCATTTTGGCAGAGTGGCTAGATGACACTTCTATGCTTTGTCCCACTATGATGCATAGGACCACTAGCAGTTGGGCTCAAGGGGCCAGCTCCCAGCAGGCTTAGGAAAGGAAAAGGCAAAGCACACTAATTTCTGTTCATGTGCCAACATGGGAATGGATCTGGCCCACTTCTTCAGGAGGTCTTGATTAACAGCTTTCTGGTAGGGAGCCCTAGACCTCCCTGCTCTGCAGCAGCGCTCACGCACTAAACTTATTCTCGGAATCTGAAAGGTCCTTCCTACTCTTGCACACAGCTGGGTTTTGGCCCCAGCAAGACATCTAATTGATACTCTCTCTCGCCTTCTCCCCCTGTGTGTTTACGGCCTAGCAGAGAAAAAACCGCAAGATTGTTAAAGAGCAATAAATCTCCCAAGCTCGAACTTCGGAAAAGCTCCAGTTGACTGGAACTTTGAGAGAGAAGCTTTTTTACAAGGCACTAGCCTCTAGAGAGCTTAGCAAAGGTATTTTATAGCAGAGCAATCAGCGACATTTGCTTTCCTCTTTAGGACAGGTGCAGCGCATTAGGCTGCAGAGTGGGAGGGCTAGGACAGCGCCTCCCAGAGCTAGGAATAAAAAGATTGTTCTTAAGAAACAGACTACTGAAATCTCTTAAAGCGACTTACGTAAGAGGAATTTACAGAGGGGAAAAGAGAATCTCTTTCCTTGTACCCTGATCACCAGCCCGTACATGCATGCTTATTACTGTAGAGTTAGGAGTGGAGGCTAAAGACACAATATTTGGCAATTGCATGGCAACTGATGAATGCTGGGAAGCACGTCTACCAGATTTCACAAGAACATGGGTCCAGATCTTCAAGTTCTCAGTCCCCTCAAGTGGAAACATAGTTCTAAGTAGTTAACCCCCACGTAAGCCCCTAAATAAGAAACACATTTTCCAATGCATCCAACACCCAACACATTCTGTTTTGACAGTAGATTTTCAAAAGATCTCAGCACCTACTTCTTTTGGGGTTTGCACAGGACAACTTGCGTACTCTGGAAAAAGCACTCATGAGCAGCCCAACCCCGCACTCAAGTATAAGGGTATGTCTACACTAGCCCCCTAGTTCGAACTAGGGAGGCTAAGGTAGGCATTCCAACTTGCAAACGAAGCCCAGGATTTAAATATCCCGGGCCTTATTTGCATGTTCCCGTCCGGTCGCCATTTTTAAATCCCACTAGTCCAAACTAACTGCCCTTGGCCACACGCGGCAGTCAAACGTTAATTCAAACTAAGTCCTTAGTTCGAATTAACTGTTACCCCTCGTGGAATGAGGTGTAACAGTTAATTCAAACTAAGGACTTAGCTCGAATTAACGTTTGACTGCCGCGTGTGGCCAAGGGCAGTTAGTTTGGACTAGTGGGATTTAAAAATGGCGACCGGACGGGAACATGCAAATAAGGCCCGGGATATTTAAATCCTGGGCCTCATTTGCAAGTTCGAATGCCTACATTAGCCTCCCTAGTTCGAACTAGGGGGCTAGTGTAGACA